TTGTTAATTAATTATCGAAGAACTCATCCGGACAAGGAGTCTCTTAAGCTTTACGAGCAACGCCGACCCCCCCCCCCCCGTCCCATCGAGGGATGGAAGTGACTGCGTTAGTGGGGACAGAGCGCTGGATAGCAGTTGTTCACGATGTCAACGGCACGGGGGGTGGTGGAGGGGGGAACGAATGAAAAATATCCACAGACTTTTGTTTATTTTACGAGCGGAGAAAATTTTGCCAAGCATTGCCACGGCCACGTCTACCCACCAACGGTCGGAGATTCCACCGCCCAAGAAACGCCAAAAGACCCGAGTCTGGATGGAGATGTAGACTTAAGATGATTTGGCGACGACGTTATTTGAGACCGCAGTGGACCGAGGAAGACCAAATTATTCACGAACTTGGCTGTCTGCGATTTTCGGCTATCCGCGAATCGCATCTGAAACTCTACACAAATTCTGCATCGAGAGAGAAAGAAAGCGATGAGATGAGAGATAAAGTGATATATTCATTTAGGTAATTCGATAAAAAGATATGCTTTCAGAGGCCAAAATCATTATTCACAAACTTTGTCAATCACGAGCATCTCCAGAATGTATCTCTCGCGAATAACGAGGCAATGCTGCATATGAACATTTACCGAGTTCACAGATTGGACGACGTGAAAAGGTTAAGGGTTGGGGCGAGAGGAATTGCAAACCCCACACACCAACGTTTAATCACCAAAAGTGTTGAAATCCTGTAGCCGACTAAACCAACAGAATGATTGCCTACATGACATCTGCAGGCTTGACCAGAATTCCACTGGTCGTCATCGACTCCACTAAGACTACGATGAACGTAAGAAAAATGCACTAAATTTAAAACCGCTCACAACAACAGCCCGCCTTTCGCCACCGAGAGATGGTGACATCACCCGCAGCGGCACATGTGCCAGGCAAGGTGCAACCCCGAGGCCACGTGAAGTGTCGAAGGAGGGCCGTCGCTGGCAGGTCATGGGGAAAAGACGTCGGTTATCGTCGACCGAACTAAAATCTTCCCACAAAATGAGCAACGCTGGATAAATTTCGATTTAAAGTTTTCGTGACTGCAGGGATTCATCTTCTTGGTTCTTTCGGTAAAGTCACGTAGAATGGAAATGATAAAATAATAAAATTAAACCTAAAATTATGTTATATTTCTATAAATGTATTATTTATAAAACATGTTTTATGTTTATTATTTTATTATTTCCATTCTACGTGACTTTACCGAATAACATTACATAATATCATGCTTTATTATTATTTTATTATTTCCATTCTACGTGACTTTACCGAAAGAACCAAGAAGATGAACGCTGGCTAAATTAACACTGGGCGTACGTTTTGTGTGCGACCGCGCGTCTCACCAAACCGCTCACCGTCAAGCGGGCTGGGAACACCGCTCGTAACGGAGCGCGCTGCGCAGGGCACTGCGCCCGCCACAAGCCTGGTGAACAATGGGGAAGAAAATGGGTCACCGAGAGAAAAAAAAAATTCGCGTCGGTCTAAAAATACACTTGGAGACCGACTCCACGAATTCTCAACCAATGACCGCCAGGGTCCATCTGTGGATGTACCTTAGACGGGGCAAGGGGCTTGTGGGGGAAACAAAAAGGGCCGGAATCAGGGGGCGAAGATTCCTCCCGGGTAGCCGGCCGGTTGTACGTTGAACTTCTTTTGCGCCGTACGTAGCCAACCACGCGAATCGCAGGCGCGTACAGTGCAGACAGCGCAGCCAAGCCAGCGACCGCACATTCGTCATGCACTCGGATCACGCAGGACAGGAGTTACGCGTGGTACATACATGGGGTGGAGCGGTGGCGCAGCGGTTAACACGACGCACCGTCAACTCGGGAGCGCCGAGTTCGAATCCACGGCCAGCATCAGTGGGGTCTGAATAGGTCCTGGGCACCACCGCCTTCGCTATGTTAATGCACAGTGGGCTGTTCAGTGTGGGCTGTGCATTATTTATAGACATACTCGCTGTGTGCAATCCGCCACCGCTCTAGGATATGGGAAGTTGGTGGTAGCTAAAGAGAAAAAAACAGTGCACTTTGTTTTGCCGTGTAACAGTCTTGAGAACAACACTGTACAGGCTTCCTTAAAATACAGCCCTTGTGCTCGGCTCATCATCACTCAGGCGGTCTATAAAATGAGTTCCACTGTGTGGCAAATGACGTATGTGGTTCTATAAGAATACTGGCAGCACCATAGGACGTGGAATTTGCAATGCTGGTTCATCTACTCATTTTTGTAAGGAGATCATTGTTAGACACGCTGTGAGATAATGGTTCAGAAACGTGGTCTTTGATAGAAGCCAGGGGGTGGGGGGGGGGAGACCCTGAAAAATCCCCAAAGCAAGGAGTCATCACACGGTGCAGGTCAGAGCACGGTGCCTCAACCACTGCTCCACCAGCTGCCGGAGGAGTGACAATGATGATGACCCGTTATAAACATCATTATCGGCCATGATCGATCCACCGCTGGGTGAACGCCTCCTCCCACGAGCTCGCAATGCCACAATCCACCCAGCACCTGCACACGAGTCGATCCCGTCGCTCCGTCTCCTACGGCGGACACTCTCTCTGGTGGGGTCCGGCATTTCGCTGCTACTCGGTAGATCATCTCGACCACTGCCCATAATTAGTAGGGCAGCACCCGACTTATGAACACAATTCGTTCCCAGGACTCGTTCGTAAGTGGATGACTGTACGCAGTTTCTCTACATAACATGGAGGGGCCCCCCTTCTCAAATCTACCAACCTATGGACCATGCATAGCAAAGAAGAACAGCAAAACGACACCAACTCTCTCTCTCTGCTGAAGCCTTCTCATCGTGGCCAGCAGCAGCAGCAGACCTCAACACTGACATCGAGATGCTGAAGATATTGATGCCGCTGCCATAATTTTGCGTGTTTAGTTTGTTGTCCTTCCCCACGGCACCTCCGGCTAGCAACGGTTGGCTACTACGTACGGTGCGAAGGAAGTTCAACATGCGGTACATTCTCAAGAACGGAGAATTGCAAGAGCACAACAGAGGGGGGCCCTTGAGTCGGATTGTCAGTATCATGGACAAGCCCCGGCTTTTCCACGTACTGAAGATTTTTAATTGGCAACTCACAGCACTGGCACATAGCAGAATCCTCCATGCAGTGCGTGCCCGGGATTCATTGCCCTCTATATATAACCCTTGGACTCACACCCCTAAGTGGTGATCGCGTATGCACGGGACAAGCCCACACGCACAGAGCACAAACGTGCACTTTTGGTCACATGTACGTGCACGCACGACGAGGCTGTACAAGCCACCGGTAGTTCCACATACGTGTATTTGAACCGTGGCATGTGGCCGTGCGCATGGGAAGTATTTGGCTGCAATGAATTGCCACCTGATCAGCCCCTTCTGGACAAGAGCTATGCAGCTCAAGTCGGGCCTTACCTGGTCAAATAAAAATTGATGTGCAAATACGATTCCGCATATAGCCTTCAACGGTAGGGACAAGCGCTGTGAACGAATAGCCTTCATGCCAGCACGGGTTGCTGCGGCAAACACCGTTCTCGGCCGCCTTTGTCTTCCCAGGGCCTGGCTGGTTTATATGCCGCGCCACGGACTCATTTGAGGCCGAGTCGACATAGGGGATGCCCGGCACAGGTTCGGATACGGCTCGCCACTGGTGTAGGCCGGGAGTTCCATCGAGGAGTGCGCTAACCACTGCGCCACCGCTCCACGCCACACCAGACGCACAGAGCAGCTTTGTTGGACACGCAGACTGCTCTGTGTCCATGCCGAATACCAAAACCTTTCACAAAGCCGCACTGCGACCGGCGTGGTGAAGTATGGTCAAATGATGATGCCGATAACCCGACAACAGTGTGTGGGGGGAGGGGGGAGACCTCATCCAGCAGTAGATTGATAAAGGACTGTGAATGATTAATTGTATCACGACAGCAGAGCATCGTATTACAATCACTCAGCTACTGGACGAGTGTTAACAGTATGTGTGTAAGTTGGTGCGTGTGTGTGGCATGTGTATGGGTATATATACTGTGTGTGTGGCATGTGTGGCATGTGTATATATACTGTGTGTGTGCAAGTTGGTACGTCTATGGCATGTGTATGGATATACTGTATGTGTGGCATGTGTGTGGGTGCAAGTTGGCCTGTGTATGGGGTATATTTACCGTGTGTGTGCAAGTTGGTGCGTGTGTGGCATGTGTATATTTACTGTGTGTGTGTGGCATGTGTGGCATGTATGGGGGTATATATACTGTGTGTGTGGCATGTGTGTGGGTGCAAGTTGGCCTGTGTATGGGGTATATTTACCGTGTGTGTGCAAGTTGGTGCGTGTGTGGCATGTGTATATTTACTGTGTGTGTGTGGCATGTGTGGCATGTATGGGGGTATATATACTGTGTGTGTGGCATGTGTGTGGGTGCAAGTTGGCCTGTGTATGGGGTATATTTACCGTGTGTGTGCAAGTTGGTGCGTGTGTGGCATGTGTATATTTACTGTGTGTGTGGCATGTGCATGGGGGTATATATACTGTGTGTGTGTGCAAGTTGGCATGTGTATGGAGTATATATACACTGTGTGTGTGTGTTAAAGGCCCCATCTCTGTCTGGACATGTCACCCGTGTGACACATGGCATGCAGCAGTACCCATCGCTATAGACTGCAGCACTGGAGTGTGTGGGTGAGTGTGGGGGGGGCGTTTATTAAAGGGTACAAACACAGCAGTGCCTCAATTGATGTGACACATTGACCAGCGTGGTGAAGTATGGTCAAACAACTCCCCCACGGGCAGGGAGGCTACACGTGAACTCCTCCGGTACTTCACTTGGGCATGTAAAAGGATGGCTGAATATCGCTGTGAATGATAACCCCACCAGCACCAACACGCGATCAGGGTGTAGGAGGAATGTCGTCTCAACAACACGCACGGTGATGGCCCCGTTTGGCAGCAACAACCACCACCACTAACCTTCGGTGTCGAGCGGGCGATTGGTCTCCTGCTGCTGTTGTTGTTGATGCTGTTGTTGTTATTGTTGTTGTTGTGTATCCGCAACACCGACGACGAGAGAGACACACACACACAGAAGAAGATCGTTCTCCCCGTCACGGCGAGCCGGGCTCGGTGCGTCTCGCTTAGTCGGAGTCGTCAATGCGTCTCTCTGTGGCGGTGGTGGTGGTGTTGGTGGTTGTCTTCAACTCTTCTCTTGTCGATCAGTCAGACCTCCCCCTCTTCACACACGAGGCGGTGGCATCGTGCGTGAGCCACTCTGCCCCTAACGCTCCCCCCCCTCTAGACTCGGGAGCGATCACTCTACACGCCGCGGTAGAGCAACATCACCATCTCTGTCTGTCTGTCTCTCTGTGCGCGTCGGTGTGGTCCTTACGAAAGCTGATGACGATGATGATGATAACAATGGGGGGGGGGGGTGGGGCACACACACACAACACGTGTTGTGTGTGTGTGTAAGGAGGCACCTTAATCACGGTCACGCGCTCGGCATTGTCTTCGCTGGAGGGGCTGGAGGAGGGGGCTGCAGGCGGGGGGTAAACAAAGGGAGACGCGCGTGGAGCCAGAGAAGACGCTGATGATGGTGATGATGATGGTGGTGGTGATGATGGTGGGGATGGTGATGATGATGATGATGGTGGTGGTGATGATGGTGGTGGCGATGGTGGTGGGGATGGTGATGATGGTGGTGGTGATGGGGATGGTGGTGGTAATGGTGGGGATGATGGTGATGATGGTGGGAATAATAATAATAATGCTGCTGATGGTGATGATGGTGGTGATGATGGTGGTGATGCTCGCCGCTGATACTGTTGCTGATGCTACTGCTGATGGTGATGATGCTCGCCGCTGCTGATGCTACTGCTGATGAAAGTGGTGGTGCTGCTCGCCGCTGCTACTGCTGATGGTGGTGATGAAGGTGGTGATGATGCTGCTGCTACTGCTGATGGTGATGATGGTGGTGGTGATGCTCGCCTCTCTCTGCTATTGTATCCGCGGGCCAGGCACGGCGCGCCAGATGTAAACACGGCAGCCCCCAACAACTCGCTTCCCTCCACCTCCTCCGCCGACGCTCGGCTCCTCCTTAATCACATGTCCGAACAAACGCTAATTCATTAATATTATTCATAGTATAACACTGTATTTGTGTGTTTCTCTCTCTCTCGCTCTGGTTATAACACCGCATACCGGCTATAGGGGGGTCCATGGTTCGATCTCTGGGACGTGGCATTTGATTCTCGCTCGTCTCATCCCCCCCCCCCCCTCTCTGCTCACCGCACAAAGTCGCCTGTTGTTGTGGGGGTTACACCACCACCACCAACACCACCACAGTAGCAAGTAGCGACAGGTCCCGTGTGATGGGGAAACTCTCGCCGCTTCCGAGACGGCCGGTCAGTGTGGAAGAGTAGGCCAATTACCCTCTTCTGGAGGGGGCTCTCTCTCTTTCTCTAGAGCTCCCTCTCGTGGCACACCGCCCCCATAACTCCAGCAGTGGCGTCAGCAATTTAAAAAACTAAGTAGAGTTTTGCACTTAACTTGAAGCCACGTGTGGTTATGAGGATCACTCAACTGAGAGAAGAACTACGGGGGGGTTTGGGGGCAGCGCCTGATTATCCTCGTACCAAAAATAGCTACATAAGTAGTAGCTGCTACACGTGTAGTAGTATCTGCTACTACTGCACGTGTAGTAGTAGCTGCTACCACACGTGTAGTAGTAGCTGCTACCACACGTGTAGTAGTATCTGCTACTACTGCACGTGTAGTAGTAGCTACTACCACACGTGTAGTAGTAGCTGCTACACAAGTAGTAGAATCTGCTACTACTGCACGTGCAGTAGTAGCTACTACCACACGTGTAGTAGTAGCTGCTACACATGTAGTAGAATCTGCTACTACTGCACGTGCAGTAGCAGCTACTACCACACGTGTAGTAGTAGCTACACGTGTAGTAGCAGCTACTACGGGCCCCGCACTTTCAAGGGACCCGCGCTAAATGCTTTCAAGCTATGAACACCGCTTCAGTGATTCTGCACTTGCTCTATTACTATAGTATTATACCACCTGCTACTTTTACGAACGACCGGATGTTTAAGGTTAGCGATTTGTCGTATTATCTGTCCGTATAGCAAATGAAAAAGTACAATGACTTTACTGTGCAAGTTAAAAATGTGTGTGTTTTAATGTTTATGTGTGTTTTTTATGACATATGCTACAGGCCCCGCAATAGCTTATTCCAGTTGGCTATCATCATCAAGATGAAAACAGCCTTTGGTTGTCGAGTTTTATTTACAGAGGCGATTGAGAGGAAGGGACCCTTTTGAAACGTTGCCTTTAATAAATACCGTGACCAATACAAGCTCATGATCGATATTTTTCCCCCGGGTTTACATACTACTGCAGTCACAGCAGAGGAGTTGGACTTCATAGCTGTCAACCCACACGGCTTAAACCCCCGTAATATTCTTGTACAGGGGAAATTTATATTCTTTGGTCTTTCGGGAAAGTCACGTAGATGGTTAAAAACAATAACAACAAAAACTACGACGTTACGATCACAACACAAGCGATCGTCATCAAGAGGAAAGGGGAAATTGGGTTGTCAGGTCAATACGGCGTAAATCCGTTTCAAAATCTACACGTGTTTGTCTATTTGGTCGTGTTTCTCCGTTGTGATGGGATTTTGTAGGATGACCAAGGGCACGGCGTAATAAGGTTAGGCACCGTTAAGGGGGTTGATTGACTTACACCGTACAGCCCTTTTGACGATCCACCCGCTGGATGGAGGATCTCTACACCCAAGGGCCCTGGCGGTCGTGGAAGTTACTTGGCCGTAACCTTGAGCCACGTTGCGTGGCTGGTTGTGTATTGGCACTGTCAGCGACCATCGGAGCAGTACAACAGGCGGTGCCGGATGAAGCTGGTGCGGGGCGTGTAGCGTATGCTATAAAGGGGCCCTAAATTTGAAAAAAAAAACACAAATATTAAAACACATACATTTTTAACTTGTATAGTAAAGTAATTGTATTTTTTTTATTTGCTATACAGCCGGATAATACGATGAATCGCTAACCTTAAACACCAAGTCGTTCATAAAAGTCGAAGGCGGTATAGTACTATAGTAATAGAGCAAGTGCAGAATCGCTGAACCGGAATTTATATCTTGAAAGTGCGGGGCCCGTAGCTATTACATATGTAGCTGCTTCTGCTACAAGGATAATCCGGCACTGACTACAGTCCAACAATAGATCGCGCTGCGCCAAAACCTCTGCTCCCCACAACGTAATAACCGCAGAGGACTGCCTCGATCACCCATTGTCACACTTTGCCAGGCTCAAACCTGCTTAGCCATGCGCGTGTCTGATTAGCTGGGACTGAATATTGGTAGACTGGGGTAGACCGAGAGACACGTGACTACTGTAAATGCCACAACTAGAACGATATTACTTGTAGGAACCTGGTTACACATGGGATTATTGTGTCCGTCCGTCCGTCGTGCAGGGAGGGGCTAGGTGGGGAGGGGCTGGTCACTTCGTGGTGCCCTTATAAAACTCAACGTTTAACCTACTCACGCCGGCTTGTGTCCTCCCTCACAGTCGGGCATATTTGCGGAATACACCACGCCGCCGTTGACCCTGGCCATTGACCGAGCAACCCAACAGGAATGTGTTTCATACTGATTGTGGTGTGCCGTGTACAAAGCATGGTTTCATTTCAGCCCAGATGCTACTATGTTTTCATTTTTCTCTTCTTCCAACATAGATGAAAACTAATATCAGATATACTCATTCTTACTCTCTAGATTTAATTTGTTTTGTGTAAGTTATTTTTTTTTCAATAACGTGTTTCTTATTGGTAGCTTTAGGCTACCGATAATGTGTTTATACATGATCGGGTGTTGCCTGCTGTTGCATAAGCTGCGTGTTGGTACGGTTATTATGAATCAAGTAGCACAGAGGTAACTTGCCTCGGTTACAGGCTTGACTTTACGTATTAGAGTTGTGTAATGGCTGCATGAATCAAAATCGCTTTAAAACAAAAAACAACAACTTTCGACCGTGGCTGAATGCTCGGTTTGTGTTAAATAAAAACACAGCTTGCACGTCATGGGTCAGGAAGAAACGTCTACACGATGTCGTAACGAACTGGTGTTGGGCCAATTATCCCAATGTTGAAAATTACCGCGAAAAATAAAATAAAACCATGGCAGGACCCTCGTGAAACAAAAGCCGTGAGACTCAGAGAGGCTTTGCTGATGTGAAGTAGATAAAATAAATGCACCAGCATTGAATAGCAATCGGATTTGTATTCTATTTTCCATCAGTGGCTACAGACATGCGCACTGTTATGGTACCCCAGAGAGCCTGGATTCGTCGATTCCTATGCAGCTTGTCTGTGATTAAAAAGTGTTCTCAAGTCCAGTGAGTTGATCGATCGATAACTGTACAAAAAAACAACCTCATCACATGTAATTTGGGTTTACACTTGATTTGGCAACATTCCGGCCGTGACAATTAATGAACATTTTTCTCGGTGGCACGGCCGATGGGAACGTGCTGCCCCCTACCGCTGTGTGAAAAAAGTCTCATGAAGACATCTCAACGGTAGCTCTGTGATATCCACCACCGCGGGCCGTTCTCTAGAACGATGGGTTTGCACCGCTCTCTGTAAGAGATGAGAATATGCAGCCTTTCCTCAATTAGTCTCGCGAATCTTGGCTTATTTGACTATACTTCGCCACAATAGTCAGTGCGGGGTTGGCGAAGGCTCTGTGCATATTAGTAGAGTACAACATTGAATGTTGCTGCACTGTATACGATGTAATCCCCCCTCCCACAACCACCCCCGCGATCCCAAAATGGAATGGCTGCGTGTCTTGTGTGACTTTACTTTGGCCAACAATGTTGTTTTGCTCTTGTGGATGTGAAGTGACAACATCAATAAGCATGGGGAAGTTGGGCCAACTGCTTGTTTCCTTTAGTTTGCTGCCCACTCCCCCATCCCCCGCAGCGGCGATTAGCACGGTTGGCTAGGTACGGTGCGAAAGAAGTTCATCGTACTACACACAACCGACGTTGGTTTAACGCAGGGGTCACATGGAGCTCTTTAAGGTTCGCTGCTTCATGAGAAGTTCTTTATTCGGGACCGCCCGTCTCGTATTCACGTGCATTGCGGCTCTGGAATTTTTTTTAGCGAATTAGAAAGAAAGAAAAAAAAACTATGGCCCCTGTTAATTCTATTGCCGGCCCCTGTTAATTCTATTGCCAACCCCTGGGTCGAACGGTTTACAACCCGTGGCACGCCAACGTTGGCACAATGTTGGCCTATTACCGGGAATGCCAATTGAGGTTCAATATCGCGCAGTGCCATCACTTCCTGGTGGTGTCGGAAGTCAAAGCACAAGCCAGGAAGGGGAACAACAACAACA